TATTGTTGTTTAGGACACATCAATAAAAAGAAAGCTTTACTTGATAGCGAACATTGTAGATGATCTTTAAAAACTGTTTTAGAAGTAGGTCAAGGGAATGAGCATAGGAAACATCAGGTTTTCTGAACTGAAAGCCAGAAATAGAGAAGCTTAAGATCCTTACAGACGGGGTGGTAGAAGTGCTCCTCCAGGGGCTGCTTCTGAACTTCACTCCACTGGGGGGCAGCTTGAATCACAACCGAAGAGTGAGCAGCTCAGACCAGGGCTTTTATTCCTGACATGAGGCCACATGACTTCATTTGTTGTGTTTTAGCTCCTCTGTCACCACTCTCAAAACCACAGAGCAAAACACTAAGCCAATTAAAATATACAAAACATTTTTCACAAATGTCAGCTTGTCCAAACTCCTACATTCCAAACATAAGATTAGGGCATTTTGGACATTTCTCCCATTTCAAACCATTACTTGTTACTCTTAAAAGGCACTGTTTGACACATGCAACCTAGGTTGCATATTGGATAAGATACAAGTCACACCAAAACAACCCAAAAATAAACTCATAAAAATACAACAGCCACAAATTTGTGAACAAAAACTAAACAAACAGTTAAGACAAAACAAAAAAAATTTATGGACCTGACCGATGGACTCCAGGAACTTCTTTCTCTGAATAAACTCCCACATTGCATGAGGAAAAATAGCTAAAAATATTGCAGGAATAGGTAGAGACAAACCAGAAAGAGCTGGGCCAACCAAACCTTCAAATCATCCTCTTCTCTGCCTCCCACCCTCACATCACAACACATCCCTCACACACACACATACACACACTCATTCACGTCAAATTCACCTCTCATGGAACTTGGAGAAAGAGGCTAAGCCTGACAAAAGATAAACCTCCAAATGTAACACCAGGCCATACATTTGTGCCCTAAGCAAGAGGGGAGACAATCTCACTATGCTAAAGGCAAACTTCTGGTTAATGCATTATTTTGAATTCAAGCTCATTAATAAATATTAACACCTGTTCCATTTAAGAAGAAAAGTCCTCGGCCAGCGCCGCGGCTCACTAGGCTAATCCTCCGCTTTGCGGCGCCAGCACACTGGGTTCTAGTCCCGGTCAGGGTGCCGGATTCTGTCCCGGTTGCCCTTCTTCCAGGCCAGCTCTCTGCTGTGGCCAGGGAGTGCAGTGGAGGATGGCCCAAGTGCTTGGGCCCTGCACCCCATGGGAGACCAGGAGAAGCACCTGGCTCCTGCCATCGGATCAGCGTGGTGCACTGGCCGCAGCGCGAGGGCCGCGGTGGCCATTGGAGGGTGAACCAATGGCAAAGGAAGACCTTTCTCTCTGTCTCTCTCTCTCACACTGTCCACTCTGCCTGTCAAAATAAATAAATAAATAAATAAAATAAAATAACAAAAAAAAGAAGAAAAGTCCTCATCTTCTTCCTCTTCTCTTCTTTTCTCCTACCTTCAAAAGTAGACTTGAGAACTGTATTCTCTTTCATTTTTAAAAACAGATATATTCTTTATCCATTTATTTGGCTCCCTGAGTCTTCCTGAGACACCCAAAGTATACCCAAGGGCTGTGGGATCTTTTTTCACCTGCCCAGCCCCTGAGGGAGTGAGACAGACACAGCTGGACATGCAGTCGGCTGCAGTGGACAGGCTACGTGACTCTGGGTCGTTCCTTGAACGCTCACCCATCTTTATGAAGTGCTATGTTCAGAGCTGGTTCAGGGAAAATAGTAAAATCATCTCCTTGTCAATGGAAGACATTCACCATGAACACAAAGTGGAACAAAATGTAACTCACCCCAAGGCATACTTAAAGAAAGGGGTAGATAGTAAGAAAGAGATCTCAGGCAGGCCCGAGTTTTTAATGCTCTCTAGTCCTTATTCAAAGTCAAGGCTGTGATAAGGACTACTGTGTGATGCCACGAAGCAGTCATCAATACAGACGTTGACTATGCGCACTGCAGCCAAACCCTGAAAAGCATTGCTCAGAGGCATTGACAGTTTTCCCTTGACTTTAAAGGAATTAGTTCCTAACACTCACCTTTCTCCAGTTACTCTGATTAAATCTTTAGAATTTCCAGAAGCTTTCACTGACAATTCCAGGAAGAAATCCCCTTTCCTTCTGAAACCTAGCTAAGAAAATAAATCCTAAAGAAAATGGAAATATGTGGTTTCTGAACTATGAAGTGTTCATCAAGAATAAAATGTGGGGGCCAGCGCTGTGGCAAAGTCAGTAAAGCTGCGACCTGCAGTGCCTGCGTCCTATATGGGCTCTGGTTCGAGTCCTGGCTGCTCCACTTCCAATCCAGCTCTCAGCTATGGCCTAGGAAAGCAGCAGAAGATGGCCCAGGTCCTTGGGTCCCTGCTCCTATGTCGGAGACCTAAAAGCTCCTGGGTCCTGGCTTCGGATCGGCACAGCTCCAGCAGTTGAGGCCAATTGGGGAGTGAACCAGTGGATGGAAAACCTCTCTCTCTCTCTCTCTCTCTCTCTCTCTCTCTCTCTGCCTCTGCTTCTGCCTTTGCCTCTGCCTCTCTGTAACTTTGACTTTCAAATAAATAAACAAATCTTTAAAAAAAAAAATAAAATGTGGAAGAATTAGAAAAGTTCAGGTCATAAACAAGAAAATGCAACAGCCAAATGAAATAGGAAAAGACAATTAACCTTACTGCTAATATGGGAAATACAAATGAAAATCACCAAGATATACTACTTTTTTATCTGAGTGATTAGCAAAAATGCAAAGGTGGGATATTAGCCTGTGCTGGCAAGATTGTGAAGAAATGGATTCTGCAACACATCCTTGGCTACTGCACTGAGATTGGAGAGTCTTTGACCCTGTGATTCCACTTCTGAGAATCAATCTTATGGAAAAACAGGAGTGAACCCAAAAAGATCCCCATAAAATATCTACTGCAGCATTGCTGGTAGCAGTAGAAAACTGCAAAAACCTGAATGCCCATCAAGAGAGCAACAATTCAAACAAGTACAGGATACCCACATTGCACACTATTTTTCAGGTATTAAAAGTAATTTTAAAATAAAAAAATTAGGGGCAGATGTTTGGTGTGGCATTTAGGAAGCTCATATCTCATATCAGAGTGCCTGCGTTCAAGTCTCAGCTCTGCTCTCCATTCCAGGTTCCTGCTCATGCTGACCCCAGCTGGGAAGCAGCAGGTGACGACTGGAACACTTGGGACCTGCCACCCATGTGGGAAACTCAGATTGAGTTCTTGGCTCCTGGTATCAGCCTGACCCAACCCCGGCAGGCATTTAAGGAGTGAACCAGCAAATGGGAGCTATCTCTCTTTCAAATAAATCAAATCAATTAATAAAAATATTTTTTTAAAAATGAAAGATTACCTGGTATTTAAAAATTATAAAAACATAAAATAGAAGTACTAGAAATGGGAAAATAATAATGAATTCCATTAACATATTTTGACCAGGAGGAATTTTCATTGAATACTTTTTTTTTTTTTTTGACAGTCAGAGTGGACAGTGAGAGAGAGAGACAGAGAGAAAGGTCTTCCTTTACCGTTGGTTCACCCCCAAAATGGCTGCTGTGGCCAGTGTGCTGCGGCAGTCGGACCGCGCTGATCTGAAGCCACGAGCCAGGTGCTTCCTCCTGGTCTCCCGTGTGGGTGCAGGGCCCAAAGACTTGGGCCATCCTCCACTGCACTCCCGGGCCACAGCAGAGAGCTGGACTGGAAGAGGAGCAACCTGGACAGAATTCCCCCCCCCCACACACCTGGACTAGAGCCTGGGGGGAGTGGGGGCGGTGGCCATTGAATACTTTTTATTTTAATTTTAATTAGTTTTTAACAGATTCAATGTGGTTGGAGATACAATTCTAAGAATATAAGGATATTCCTTTCTTCCCTCCCATCCTCCCTCTCCCCCTCCCTCTCACCTTCTTTTTCTATTTTATTTTTTTAGTTTTTGAGATAACATATTTTAAATTTACATTACAGTAAAAAGGCTTAATACCTCACCAAATAAGATGTTTAACAAGTAAATAGGAAAAGACCCTAGCTTAGTAGGAATATAGAGAATGGCTATAAACAATAATTGAATGGAAAAAAATGACCATTTCACCCATATACAGTCAATTTTAAAGTAATTACAGATCATTAAAACTATAGTAGTATAGTATAGCATTCTTAACCACTGGTTTCACAAAGGTACAAAACAAAATTTTACAAAATTATATTTGTAGCAATACTAATACACATACTTTTTTTCTTTTTGCTTGTTTTTTAAATTTTTTAATTTTAGATTGTAAATATAAGGGAGAATATGTGATGTTTGTCTTTCTGGGTCCAGCTTATCTCACGCCACATGATGTCCTCCAGTTGCATCCATTTTGCTGCAAATGGTAGAATTCATTCTTTTTTTTTTATAGCTGAATAATAGTCTATTATGTATATATACCACATTTTCTTTGTCTATTCATCTGATGTTGGACACCTTGGTATATTGCTGAACTCAAAAAGTAAGTTGGTGAGTCATGATTGCACATGATCTACTTGGAAGAGGAAGAAAAATACCTTCTATGTAAACAGGGTTACCCAAGCATTTGTATCAACACTGAGGAAGGTGAAAAGGATGCACAGAAAACTGTTGATCCTGGCTACTGCAACAGTTGACACTGGACAGGGAGAGGAAGATGATTAACTCTGTTCCCCATTCCTCTGTCACTGGACTGTGACAATAAGCACAATTGTTAAACAGCTCTTAAACTTGTATTTTTAATTAAAAATTTAATATAGACAGATACAAAAGGATTACAGAAGCTGAAAATCTTATGGCAAGACAAAAATACTCCATCTAAGTCAGTTTTGATAAATTTTGCTTATTTTCAAAATATCCAGAACATGGGACTAGAGGTGCAGGAGCCTCATGCTGACACGTATTCTTCACAATCATTATCAAAAAGGAGACCTTTCCACCATCTAACTCAAATCACTCTCTCTGCCATTGTAGCAAATGCCTCATTCTGATTCTGCTCAACCAACAATTATTGCTGTCATTCTTTTTGGTGGGATTGGCGGAGATGCAAATACACAGTATCACTGGTGAGTTATTATACTTTAATGGGATTAACTGGGATGCATAGCAAAACACTGCTGAAGTAGACAACACCGAAAAAGGTGGGATGTGTTAGACATCCACAAAAACAGGATGATTTGTGTGCATTATGGTAAAGCCAATAAAGGAATATTATGTGTCATAAAACATCATTTTCCAGAAAAACAATGAATAACAACATAGAGGTCAAAACTTCATGTCAATTTTAAAATAAGTAAAATTGAGGTTTCAAATTTTATATCAAACATTATATGAAATGCATGTCTTTTTTCAACACACAGAAAGAGACCATTAGGAAAATATTCACAACATCCTTAACAATCAGTATTACTGGGAAGTAGACTCATGGGTGATTTTTTTCATTTATTTTTAACTATTTTCCTGTATTTTAAAAATTTTCTATAGCAATCATATATTAAGAAGAAACAGGCCGGCGCCGCGGCTCACTAGGCTAATCCTCCACCTTGCGGCACCGACACACCGGGTTCTAGTCCCGGTCAGGGTGCCGGATTCTGTCCCAGTTGCCCCTCTTCCAGGCCAGCCCTCTGCTGTGGCCCGGGAGTGCAGTGGAGGATGGCCCAAGTCCTTGGGCCCTGCACCCCATGGGAGACCAGGAGAAGTACCTGGCTCCCGGCTTCGGATCGGCGCGGTGCGCCGGTCGCAGCGCACCGGCCGCAACATCCATTGGAGGGTGAACCAACGGCAAAGGAAGACCTTTCTCTCTGTCTCTCTCTCTCACTGTCCACTCTGCCTGTCAAAAAAAAAAAAAAAAAAAAAAGAAGAAGAAGAAGAAGAAACAGCATATCCTCCTAGATTGAGTTCCTTGGGCTTCTAAGTGAAACCTGCAACACCTAATGAGAAGCTGGCCTGGAAATCTCCGTAGAGCTTCTGCAGACTCTTCTCTGGGTGTGAAATAAAATAAACCCCTCTTAGACCAGCAACCCAGGAGCCCCTCCACACTGGATCCTTCCAGCCTTTCTCCACTGGGTAGCCCATTCTCCAGCTTGTGGTTTGGGTACGTCCTGCTGCCATTCCTCTGCTCATGCTCCTCTCACGAATCATGCCTTTTCCTACCATCTTCATGGGTCCCAACTTGTTCATCCTCAAAACCCAAGTCACATGGTTCCTACACTGTGAAGCGTTCCTCTGAAACAACTTCTTCCTCGTGCAGGTCGTAGCCTTGACCGCTGGTTCCACTTTAGCACCTGATGTTAGTGCCTGTGAGTCCCTACTTAAAAACAAACACTTCCAGAGCTGACACCGTCTTAATCGGTCTAGACCTTCAGCACCTAGCACAGCCATGGCATATAATAGGTGCTAAAAAGTGCTTAGCAAACAAAGGCATACGGTCGAGTAAAAATGAAGTACAATTTTATATCCTGTGAAATCACCCAAAAATCACCAAGGAAAAACAGGAAACATCACTGGATCAGTGAGTTCTTCCTGAGCAAAAATGTCACAAAGCGTAAAGAAAAGAAGCCATCTCACAAGCTGCAACTGAAAAGTCAAAATCAAAGGTCCATTGTCTTTCTTTTTTTTTTTAACCCATACTCATCTAAGATAGGGTTTTTATATGCGCAAAAGTAAAAAGAATAGATGAGTCTTTTCAAGTGTCTCAATCTTTCAGTGATAGCATTGAGAAATTATTAAGGATTGTGTGCATTTCTTGCTTATAGTCTTTTTCTACAAATAGAAAATATATATGGAGATCCATCCACTAAGGAGACATCACCAAAAATAATGGATCAACATGGAAAACAATGAGTCAAACTTTGAAAAGTGCCCTATGATTCCAATGCCTTTTATACCCTAAAATCATTTCAAAATTCCATTGACATTTTATTTCCAATACTTTGTGATATAAGTGCTTAATTCTCACACATTTTACTTGTATTTTTCAGGCAAACTACACTTACCATTTTTTCCTTTAGACTTGCATTTGATTTTAAATTAATCTTTCTTTTTTTTGAAATTAATCTTTCTATGTACAGAACTTTAGTAACGACTTTTCTTTTTCCTACATGTTATGAAAATATCAATAATTATTTAGTAAATCGCTCATATCTAGCAAGACACTTTTTAGGCTTTGTTATTGGTAAACGTTAAAGCCAATACAATCCAGCCTTCACTCCTTCAGTCTATAGTTCAGTAAATCAACTGCAGAGTTTGAATTGTCTATTTAAATTAGGGGGGCTTTTACTTTTTTTTTTTTTTTTTTTTTTTTTGACAGGCAGAGTGGACAGTGAGAGAGAGAGACAGAGAGAGAAAGGTCTTCCTTTGCCGTTGGTTCACCCTCCAATGGCCGCTGCTGCAGCCGGCGCACCGCGCTGATCCTGGCAGGAGCCAGGAGCCAGGTGCTTTTCCTGGTCTCCCATGGGGTGCAGGGCCCAAGCACCTGGGCCATCCTCCACTGCACTCCCTGGCCATAGCAGAGAGCTGGCCTGGAAGAGGGGCAACCGGGACAGAATCCGGCGCCCCAACCGGGACTAGAACCCGGTGTGCCGGCGCCGCAAGGTGGAGGATTAGCCTATTGAGCCACGGCGCCGGCTTAATTTACTTTATAGAACTCAAAGCAACTTTTCTGTTCTCAAGGATAAGTCCTCTCTCACCAAAATCAGATTTAGTTTCCCAGCCGTGTATAGATTCCACAGGCTTGTGGTTTCTTAAAATGCCAGAGGCCCCTTTTAAGTGCAGAACATGTTAGTATGGTAACATGTGTTTATTCCTAAAGATGAGGGAAAATCAGCAAACCTCATCCTTTTTTTACTATGAGTATTTAATTAGAGTTTCTCAACTTCAGTACTTAACTGAAATTTTTGGCTGGAAAATTCTTGGTCGTGGGGAACCTGTCCTGTGCATTATAGAATGCTTGGCAGTATACTTGGCCTATGCCAATGAGTTATCAGTAGTATCCTTCCTCCCAGTTGTGACTATCAAAAATGTCTCCAGATACTGCTTGATGTTCCCTGTAGGGCAAAACTGAGCTCCATTGAGAACCCCAGAGGAAGCCTTGCTTGGGCAGAGAGACAAGCCTAACGTCCTGTTACACCTGCTGGGGGCTGACTCTTGTGCTCACAATGACACTTGTGCACTAGATCAAGATTTTCATGCACATTGTTTCACATGGGTGGTTTCACTATTCCTAATTCATGGAAGAGAAAATTTATGCTTGCAGAGAGGAAGTGGTGGATCTGGGTTCTCCTGCTTTTACTCTACCTAAGTAACCAACTGATCTCAGGGTGTCTTAGGACCTTCCAGTTTTTAACACTGGTCACACACTGATAGTCGTGGGTTTGTAAACAGATTTCCCCTACCCCATGCATTCAAGCAAGTGTTTGCAGAGATAGAATCAGGTAGCAATTCAATTCACTAGTCAGTGAGTAGTGATGGAGACTATGGAGAGAAAATTTGCAATTTGTCCATCTCCAGTAAACAGCTGAAAAACCACTTAGCAACCTGGCCACTAACGAGTCTCAAACACTACAGGAGACATCCTCGCAAAGACAGCAGGCACTCGAATTGCCCGAAGGAGTTACAGCACTGTAAGGGCCTCCCAGCAGCTGATGGCCTCTTGGATAGCCCGGTAGTAATCAAGATGCACTGGAAACCAACTGCAGACCCGAGTCTGAGAGAGCAACCACACCTCAGGCTCCTTCTCACGGAGAGCCAAGAGTTCAAGATCACACTCAGACGTGGCAGAGAGCCCTGCTATTGGCATGGAGCCCAGGATACAGTTCTAGACCCTGAGAGGTCTTTGTATTGCCCTTCCCGGATCCTGGCTTCTTCCTGCATAAGCACAGCCAAGAGCTCTCTCAGAGCTTCCAGGGCTAACTGATCCCTGGCCTGCCCCGGGCTGACCTGGAGTGGCAGTGTTTGCCCAGCCTCTCCCAAGTGGCCTCCAGCAGTGAGCTGCTGCGACCTGCCCTACCTCCCTCTTTCGTGTCCTTGTCTCTGGGGATCCTTGCGCCTCTACTATTTCAGTTGCATAACAGACACTCAAATGCCTTTTTTAAACTCTGAAAATTAGATGACAAAACCCCTCGCCTCCAAGGTTTCATGAATTTTATTTCTCTTTTGATTCTAATGCCCACTTCACCCATGAGTTGCACACATGACTCTTGCCACTCACTGATCACCTGAATCCTTAGTACTAAAATGTAAGGAAAAGCAACTAACCAAGTGGTTACAGCCCTTGGGGGTACATCTTGATTGAGAGTAACGATTTGAAGTGCACTCATTCTTGTTTCTAAAGAGTGGCCAAACCTTAAGAAAATATTAAATTATATTATTTTATAAGGGATAAGTTTGTACAGCTGATTAGTACTTTTTATTGTATTCTATTCTTGCTAGGAAATAGACTTTACCTTTAAAAACTCCTTTCAATTCTTCTGCCTCTTAGGGTTCTGAGCCCTGCACTTCTCAAAACAGTTTTTACCTCGGGCTTGGCAAGCAGGAAGAAGGCAGTGTCTCTTGATTTAGGGTACAGATATTTAGAGTACAAATATCATCCCTGGGAGAAAAGGAACCCAAAATAGAAATGAAAATGAGTTGCAGAAAAATAAGGAGAGTTGCATTCCTTGCAGTTCTGAGTTTGCAAACTCACTTCATACCTGCTCAGGATTGAACAGGATTACCAGGATTTGTGCATTTTTGAGCTATTAAATGAGAGATTATGAAGAGAACAGGCCTGCCAAGATGAGAAAATAACATAATTAAGAGGCTGGAAGGGCCAGCGCCGCGGCTCACTAGGCTAATCCTCTGCCTTGTGGCGCCGGCACACCGGGTTCTAGTCCCGGTCAGGGCGCCGGATTCTGTCCCGGTTGCCCCTCTTCCAGGCCAGCTCTCTGCTATGGCCCGGGAGTGCAGTGGAGGATGGCCCAAGTCCTTGGGCCCTGCACCCGCATGGGAGACCAGGAGAAGCACCTGGCTCCTTACTTCGGATCAGCACGGTGTGCCGGCCGCAGCACGCCGGCCATTGGAGGGTGAA